GCACTTCCCAGGACAGGTGGTAGTGGCTGATGCCTTTAATCCCAGCACTTGGGAGGCAGAGGCAGGCAGATTTCTGAGTTCGAGGCTAGCCTGGTCTACAGAGTGATTTCCAGGATACCCAGGGCTACACAGAGAAACCCTGTCTTGAAAAACCAAAAAAAAAAAAAAAAATCAAAGAGGAAGAACTAGTGAGGGTCCACTCCTACCTGAGGAGCTACTGGAAGTTTTGGATTTTTGTTCCCGAATACATGCATGTGCCCTGCATGTGTGTGAGACCCTGCAGGGGTCAGAAGAGTTGTCACATCCCATGGAACTGGAGTTGTGAGTCACCACATAGACACTGGGAACCCGGCTGGACTCTAAAGACCAGTAAGTGATCTTTAGCAATGAGCCATCTCTCCAGCCCTGACCTGTTAAAGCCTGCTGCAGTGAAAAACCCCACATTCATGCTCATGAAAGCGACCTTAATTAAATTCAGAGGGATCATTAAAAACAGGAAGACTTGTTGGAAGGTGTCTAAGAAAGGGAGATAGAAAATTATTAAAATACATTACATGTATGAAACAAAGAAAAAAATAACTAAAATGAGTTTATATCTTTACTTTTTCTTTTTATATGCACTGATGTTTTCCCTGCATGTATGTTTGTGTGAGGGTGTCAGGTCCTCTAGAACTGAGGTTACAGACAGCTGTGAGTTGCTATGTGGTTGCTGGGAACTGAACCTGACTCTCTGAGAGCAACCAGTGCCCTTAACTGCTGAGCCAGTTCTCCAGCTCCATGTTTTTTGTGATTTTATTTTTTTTCATTTTTTTCATGTGTTTGACTAAATATATGTCTGTGTACCACCTGTGTGCAGTGCCACAGAGGGCCGAAGCGGGTTTCAGAGCACTTTTGACTGCAATTACAGATAATTGTGAGCCACCATTCAGGTGGGTACTAGGAATTGAGTCTTTGGAAAAGCAGCTAGTACTCTTAACACTGCTGAGCCATCTCTACAGCCCCAAATTAATATACATTTTAAGGAATTTTATACTACACAATATAGATTGTGTTTGGTATGCAATATATCAGAAAGGCAAAAAGGTGCGTGGTTATAAACTCCCTTGGTAACCTTTCTTATATTACTGTTTCTATGGCAAATACAGTACAACTTAACAGCACTCCATTCCCAGGGCCCTTTCCAAAATATCAACCCTCAAGGAGATCAGAGCTCCCACCAGCGTTAACAGAGCCAAGGACCTAAGGCAGAACAAATGCTTCTCATCACCCGCCGAGGAGCTGCTGTTCAAGGACTTGGGAACTGCGAGGCGTTCCTCACCTGGAACCTTTCCAGCTCGCTGGTGACCAGAGCCTGCGCTTGAGCCAGAGGCGCATGGCAGCGTTCGATGCACTGGTGCACCTGCTGCATAGACGCTTGGGTGTCTTCACAGCAGTTGGCACTGCACCGGAACATGAGGCCCTGGGGAGCGGAGACAGAGTTAGACTGGTTAGACTGTTAAGACTCAGGACAGCCCACGAAGGACAAGGCTTTGGAGGCCATGCCTCTCTCTCTGTATGTTCCTCGACATCTTTTGTTTTATTTTCCCCCAGAATATCATCAGGACTTTATAAGACTGGGATAATTACCAGGCCTAACATTTGTGGGTTCTTAGGAGAACGCTTGCCTAGTTCTAAGAGAGCCTAGTGTTCCATTCTGAACGGCACAAAGCCAGGTGGTGGCCCAAGCCTGTAATCTTAACACTCCAAAGGTGAAGGCAAGGAAGATCAGGGGTTAGGAGCCAACCTGGGTTAAATGAGACCATGTCTGTTGCTATTAGCTCACTGATACATAATGCACCCAAGACAGAACCGGAAGAAACCACGTTCTGAACACCAGTTTCTGTAGCAGAGTTCAGAGGTCGGCCTGGCTAGTCAACGCCCCACAAGAGGACCGAAACAGTAGAGGGTGATTGAGGAGTAAAGTTAAGCGAGGCCAGTGGGGTGAGGGAGGCGGGGCTCACGCCCGCGGGTGTTCAGGGTTCGTGGCACTTGAATCAGTGCAGGGCGGCCTGAAGGGATTTCGGCCTGGTGGTTCTCCTGGGCCGGGCCCTCCATGCCTCGCGCCTGATCACCTCAGGGGCGGCCGAACACTCGAAACCGAGGCCAGGTGGGAGGAAACCGCCCCACGCGAGGCCCGGGGCTCGAACGTCACCGCGCCACCCCCGCCCGAGTTTCCAATCCCGCTTGGGCGCGAGACCGCGCCGCTACCTGCATCTTCCGGATGTTCTCTCTCTCCACACTTTTCACCATGGCGTCCACAGCCTCCTGCACTCGGAGTTGCTGCACCTCCGCCATGGCGACCCTGAGCCGCGCAGCGCCGGCGCCCGCGTGCACCGGCTGCGCCCCGCCCCCTGCGCCCGTGCCGGGTTCTCACGCCGAGGCGTCCCACCCTCTCGTCCCGCCCTTGGCTTCGCCCCGCCCTTGGCTTCGCCCCACCCCCTAGCCATTGAGTCCCGCCCCTTCGGAGGCTAAAACCCGACCCCCAACGGAGTCACCGCACTTTCTACCGAGTACCTCGCCCTGTGTCCTAGCTAGTGCGCCCTTGTCCGCAGTAAGCGTTCCCTTTCCCGCACCCTCATCGCCCCCTGGCGTCCAATGTTAAGCAACTGCAGTCAGGAGACACCACGCGCGCGCCGCACCTTCTTCCGCGGAGCCAGGCTTTTGGTAGTCAAAAATCTCTTTGCTCGTCTGATTTCTTTTCTTCCTCTCTTTCTCGCTCTCCCTTTGTCCCTTCTAATTAAAAAAAGCGAATGTGATTAGTTAGCAGCTCTTGTACAGTTTGATCAGATATTATTATCGTTATTTTTTGTCTTGGTTTCTTTTTGTTGCCGAACAGAATTTCATTAAACGTACATACCACAATGTTTAGTCAATTCCCCAGTTGGTGAACACTTTTGTCGAGTTACTAGTGTGTGTAAAGAGTACAGTGCTCTAGATTTTCTCAAGAGTAGTGCGGGAGTACGAAGGATCTGTAGATAGCGACACTGTAGAGTAACGGCGAGCTGTTTCTGAACTGGATTGGTTCTATCGGCCATGTGCTCTCATGTTCCCATTTCTACTGTCATATGCAGTCATCTGTGAAACACACGTGGTTGCTGTTCTACTTCCCATGGGCCGGATGCAGAAGGAGCATCACTGGGTTAGGAAGAGGGCAGCTGCAAGGAAAGTTCGAGGATTTCGGGAAATCTCTTCAGTTAGCGGCGAGCTTGCATTGAATCTTTGTATTGAACTAGAAGGCCCTTGCCTGGCACTCAGGAGAAGGAAGATAATGACAGGCAGGCACGGGAAGCTGCAGTGGGCATATCAGAAAAAAGGTTGAAGCTTTGTGGAAAGAGCCTGGAACGGAAAAAGATTAGCGTTTGAGAGTGCTGGAGATTTAGGCACTTGCTGCGATTTGCCACTAGATGGCAGGCTAACTCTGTTTTGAGGGTGGGAAAAGCCACACAACCTATTGTCTTTTGAGGAAAGCTATGTTCCTCTATGGCTGGGCTTTCCTTCTCCCAAATACCAGGGTTGGGGATAAGATGTGTTCACTACTTCAAGCCAGACTTACAAGGATCTTCCAGGAGCAGCTGCAGCCAGGACGATGGCAGCAGTCACTCAACAGACCAGGTACTTTGCAAGTACTTTGAATGGGGTCTGAAGTGGGTCTTTCACTGTCCATTTTTCTCCCACTGGGCACAAAATCAAAGCAGAGGGAAGTGAAGACTCTGGAATAGTAAAGTCCTAGCAGGGCAAGATGCCTTCCTCAGGCGCGCCGACACCTGACTGTGGGAAGGTTCCTCTTGAGACTGACCTCACGATTCCAGATCCCATAGAAAATTCTTTCTAATAAAGGCACAGTTTAATACTTCTCACTTTTTAATACTATCATGCTAGGATAGATTCCTAGCATGTATCTTGGAGTTTCAGCAGGTGCTTCTACAGTAATGCTGTTAGTCACACTGAGTCTGGTGGGAAGCCTTTGGTAATACAACTTTGTTAGTTTCAGTATTGCAAGTGGTTCTTTGGTGTTTAAGGAAAGTGACTTCTGACATGGATCAGACATGGGCCTGCCCCTGTAAGACAGTGGTCACATTTTAAAGACCAGCTCTCACAGCCTGAGGACAATAGGCCATGCCTCTCTGCAGCTCTCTGTAGGACCAAGAGTTAAGAAACTAGCTGTCTGTGCTGTGGTCTCAGAGAATTCCCTGATTATTGGTCCTAACCCACACCTGGCTCCTCCATGCTCTCTCTTTGCCATGGGTGCCATGCTGAGCTGAATCACAGGTGTGAAATGTTCCTCGAAATTTATATAAAAGTCTCATATGCCCTTTACTCTTAGGATTTCTCTGAAGAGACTCCTCTGCCCCCACCCATTCCTCTTATGACAGCTATCTTCTCTCCTCTGACTCTCTTCTAAAATATATTTATAGTTTATGTGTATGTGTGTGTCTGATTACATGTATGTGTGCCACATGCATGCAAAAGATCATGGGGGCCAGAAGAGGATGTCAGATCCTCTAGAACTTGAGTTATGGGTATTTGTGAGCTACCCTGTGGGAGCTGGGAATTGAACCTGGGTCCTCTGCCAGAGTAGACAGTGATCTTAACCACTAAGCCATCTCTCCAGCCTTATCTTAGTCTCATGATAAAGCACCTCTCTAATTTTTATTTTTATTTTTTTAGTATTTATTTATTTGCTTGTGACAGGGTCTCACTATTTACCAGCCCTGGCTGTCCTGGAACTCACTATGTAGATCACTGTCACAGCGATCCTCCCCCGCCTCTGCCTCTGCCTCCTGAGTGCTGGGATTGAAGGCATGTGTCATCGTTGCCCTGGTGTTCTCCAAGTTTTAAAGGGAAGTCTTCTCTTTTTCTTCTTGGGGTGGATTATGTGGTCTCTACCCCACCCATATATCCAGTGACTACATAGAAAATGGAAGAGAAACAAGATTAAAATAAAATATCAAGACTTGAGCAAGACCTAGGGAAGGGAGGGGTGACTGGCAACAGAACCTTAAGATAGGTTGACTACTCCAGGAAGGGGCATATACACCTTGGCATTCCAAAGAAGGTGACTAGACTTCAGAGGGTGATGGCCATGTGTTGTGCCTTGTGACAGAGGGGCTTGTGCAGCCTGAAAGCATTTCAAGACTCAGTGTGAGTGGTAGGAAGCCACATAACAGCAGGAAGCAGGCAGTGTTTCTGATGCTTCTGTGAGGCATGGCTTCCCAAGGCTTAGTGTAACCAGTGCTAGAGGAACTGAAGCAGAACAGATCATGGCGTTGCAAAGGCTCTGAATTAATACGTGTGTGTGTGTGTGTGTGTGTGTGTGTGTGTGTGTGAGAGAGAGAGAGAGAGAGAGAGAGGTGCACACTTGTAAATGTAACCATCTCATATACATGTATGTGTGTGTGTATGTAAGCATGCATACATATATGTGGATCAAATGCATGCAGGAGCCCTTGGAGGCCAGGTTGGATCACTTACAACTGGAGTTAGGGGCATTTGTGAGCTGCTGTGTGGATTCTGGGAACTAAACAGGGTCCTCTGCAAGAACAAGCAACCACCCCTTTAAAAATTGTCTTTGAAATTAATTTTAAGTTTGTGTGCATGTATATATGCGTGTGTGCACGTGTGCGTAAATGCAGGCACCTGCAGGGGCCAGCAGAGGATGTTGGATCCTCTGAAGCCTGGTGTTGCTAATGGGAACTCAAGTCAGTCGTCTGTGAGAGCAGTGCTGTGAGGTGCTTAGCTGTCTCTCCAGCTCCCGGATTATGCTCTTTCACTATGTGTTATGGTCAGGAAAGCTAATGAAGTCTGGGGCCAAGGAAAAACAGTCTGCAGAGTCCATCTTGGGCTGAGCATCAAACTGCTGTCTGTGTTCTCAGTCTCTAAATATGCAGCCTCCAGTGATGCGGGAGCCTCCCTTCCTCCCTCTGTAAAGCGTGGATGGCATGATTAATTCCTAGGCGTGGCAGTGGCTTTGAGATTGTGTCTGCGAGGAACAAGGTAAACAGTTATTATTGGTGCTGGAAATTTTGTGTTTCTTTCTCTCACTCTCTTATTAGTGTGGCTGTCATAGCAAACACAGCGATGGCCTGGATAACAGTTTGTGGAGCAGGTTGTGGCCAGCATGTAAGTTCTAGTCTTGTTCCTGTGACAAAATGCCTGACAAGAGGTAGTGAACTGTGGGGCTGGGGAGATGACGGATCGGCAGGCAGGTGAGAACACTGGCTACTCTTGCACACGACCTGGGTTTGATTCCCAGCACACACACAGTGGCTTACAAACATCTGAAACTCCAGTTGTAGAGGATTAGAATCTTCTTCTGGCCCTCTTGAGGGCCATGAAGCCGACATTCATACACACGAAACAAAATGAATAAATCTTAAAGGAACAATTTAAGTGAGGGAAGGTTTGTTTTGTCCCATAATTTAACAAAGGAAACAGGAAATAGGGAGAAGACACAGCAGCCAAGGGCATGTCCGACTCTTTCAGGGGACCCGGATCCATTCCCAGCACCCACATGGGGCTCACAACTGTCTAGAACTCAGTTCCGGGTGATCTGACTACCTCTTCTGGCCTCTGCAAACTCAAGACCTGAGTCCATCTGCCACACTCTTGTGTGCTTCTCAGTGCAGCAAGGTCTGCTCATGGAGCTTTGACAGAAGCCTTTGCTTCTGGGCTGACCTCAGGCTTTTCTCTGAGACTTGATTTCTTCACCCGTCCAATGAACTGTTCACCCATCTCTGTGATTTCCGATAACTTCACTCCCCATATGGTCTATCAAAGAGGCTGAGACCCCCCCCCAAGGAAACGTGGAAGTGTTGGAGCTAATGGGGAGACTCCTTCCAAGACTCCACAAGTCAGCCAAGCCTATCACCTCAAAGGGGGAGGTAAGCTTTACTTTGGCTCAAGGATTTGGTGGCTTCAGTTCAAGGCCAATTGCCTGCCACCTTTGGCCCCGTGGGAGGTGGCATACCCGTAGCAAACTGTGCAGCTGGGGGGCAGAGAGGAGGAGCTTAACTTCTTCCCACCTGGGTCTTACCTCTTAAAGGTCCACCATCTCCTGGCACTGCCACAGACTGGGAGCCTTTCGATCCAAACCTTAACAGGGTCCTTCTGAGGACTGGATGGGTGTGGTAGGGTGTTGTGGGACACAAAGGTCCTTGTTCCCACAGATCACTAGGGAAACCAAGAATGCTAAACACACAGGGGCCTCTAATCAATGGAGGAGATAAAATACCTGTTTCTCTTGCCCAGAAGGCTGGGCATGGATCTTGTTAATGACCTAATGACCTTTTTGCTATCTGTAGAACTAGGCCTCACCTATCTTTTGCTTTAGAGGCAGAC